CCTCCCTTCTCCTCCCCTCCCTCCCCCCTTCCCACCCTCTCTCCTCTTTCTCTTTTCCCTCCCTTTCAGCTCTTGAAGCTAACGCATTGGCTGGGCTACAGGCATCTTGTTGCCAAATAGGTGGGCCCTACTCGTGTTGGCAAAGGCTCAAGCAATGGTTAGGGAAAGAACGCGGAGAGGACGAGAGACGGCGAGCGAGAAAGAGAAAGAGAGAGAGTTGGAGAGAAAAGGGGAAAAAAGAAGCAGCACTCGGCTTTGCCAGCGGTCGTATGCGCTCATCCAACATTGATTCGGCTCTCTGTTTTTTTTCCTCCCTATTCTGTGCTCTGCTCTCCCTGGCCCCCCCATCTGTGTGTGTGTTTGCGAGAGAGTGTGTGTGCATGCGCGCGCTCGTGCCGGGCCCGGGATCAGAACAGACACCACCACCAATTAGATTTTGCCAAGGATTTTTTTTTTCCTCCGAGATTTTTAAAAAAAATTTGGAACTCACAAAGGACTGTTGAATTTTTGTTCTTTTTTTCGAATACATTTATTCTCGCTGTTAAAGTCTTTTTCTAGTCATTTTTTTCTAACATTTACATTTTTACCTGTTTATTATTTGTTTTGCTCCAACTTTTTGTCCGTCCTTTTTTGTGTCATTTTTGGCTTTTGTCTCAAGAACTGCTGGCTAGCGTCCTACTGCAGGACTCCCTTAAAATCTTTTTTGGTGTGTGTGTGTTTTTAAACTTGAGCCCACTGTTTGTGCTCAGCAGCGTGTTCTGCAAATTTTAAAAATTATAACCCTCCCCACCCACACCAAGTTTTTTTTTCTTTTCTTTTTTTCATCTGCTAATTCTCCACACCCTGCCAAAACCAGCGCTTGCTTTACATTGGGGAGCGCGGGAGGAAAGAGAGAAAAAAAAACTGGTGCAGGAGATTTTTTTTTCACTTTAAACGCTGTGCCAAATTTATGATGAGAGTGCAAAATGGTAACTACCAGGCCGTCTGTCTTCCTCTAGCAGTGTGGTTTTCTGTGGTGATTTCTGTCTGCTTTCAGTTTGTTGTGGAAATGTGAGTCTGGTTGGAGCTCCCTTTGCATGGTAGCGCAGATAGGAAATGGTATGGCTGATCTTTTAGCGGCACATTTCAACAGTGGTCTAGTGGCGGCAAAGCTTGGCGGTGGTGAGCGACCGGTGTGTGGCAACCCTGGCACAGGAACGCTGTGGCGAGATCTGGGCTTTGTTGCCCAGAGATATGTAGTGAAGGTATTATGGTACAGCAGAATAACTTCTCTTTTTACAGCAGGAAAAGCGGGAGCGCAACTTGGCTCAGTTTTTCATCTGAATTCGTGAACTGTCGTCTTTTCTTTATTGTCTTGAACGTTTTATTTTTGAAATGCTTTGTGTTATACCTTTGCATGCTATTGTAAGGATGATTTTTTTCCTGGTTTTCCTGCATGCTTTATTTTTATTTGAGTCTGAATGTTGGAAATGAGAAATAATTTTAACATTTTAATGGCAGTTATTTGAATAGCTTTTTGATTTGAATTTAAATTAATTGATAATCATCAGAATTTTCATTATTCCAACAACACGTTTAGTATTATTAAACATTTTGGCATTTTCATTAAAAGTTTTAAAAACCTCTAATTTTACAACTTAAAAAAAAAAGAAAAGGCATTTAAAAAAAAAAATTTTCTACAGCCTCCTAACGCCGCATCTTTTTCTCTCTCATCAGGATGAATTTCATCCCTTCATTGAGGCCCTTCTCCCCCATGTCCGTGCCTTCTCCTACACCTGGTTCAACCTGCAGGCCCGTAAACGCAAGTACTTCAAGAAGCACGAAAAGAGGATGACCAAGGATGAGGAGCGCGCGGTGAAGGATGAGCTGCTTGGGGAGAAGCCAGAGATCAAGCAGAAGTGGGCCTCGCGCCTGCTGGCCAAGCTCCGCAAGGACATCCGGCCTGAGTTCCGCGAGGACTTTGTGCTCACCATCACGGGGAAGAAGCCCCCCTGCTGCGTGCTGTCCAACCCCGACCAGAAGGGCAAGATCCGCCGCATCGACTGCCTCCGCCAGGCCGACAAGGTGTGGAGGCTGGACCTGGTGATGGTCATCCTGTTTAAGGGCAGCCCCCTGGAGAGCACGGACGGCGAGCGTCTGGTCAAGTCACCCCAGTGCTCCAACCACGGCCTGTGTGTCCAGCCACACCACATTGGGGTGACGGTCAAGGAGCTGGATCTCTACCTGGCCTACTTTGTCCACACACCAGGTATGTGGTACCTGTAGAAGAACCGTTTTTCCCACCGTTTATGTGGTTGTTATACACACACATACACACAGGTCATGTGTTTTGTCACACACTCTTTGGCATGTAAGTCACAGATTAGACCCTGCCCTCCACTATGTACCAAGCTGATCTAGTGCCAGGCTTTGATAAACCCAGTCAGCACGGAAATAAAGACCACGTCTTGATATTTAAAGTCTGCAGCGTATAATCCTAAAAAAAGTTTTCCTCTCAATGTTTCTATCTGGTTTAAAGAGATTCAGAGAATCTGACAGTCAGGCTTAAAACCTGTGTTTACCTAGAGATATGTTTGCATTGGTACATTTGTTCAAGTATTTGTGCGCAAATTTGTCTAAATCCAAATGTGCATGTTTTTCAGTGCCATCTGTAAACAAAAGCATCTGCAAACCTGTTTATCTGTGTGTGCACGCATGTGCACACGTGTGCGCGCACGACAGGCAGTTTGTCATGTGTCTGTAATCCATGTGTGTTGTGAGGTTGTTGTGTATCAGTAGCAGTGTGGTGTATTTGTGGGTTTCTTTTGTGTGTGTGTGTGGTGGTCTGGAGAGCGCAGTGACAGCTGGCCCAGTCCCAGGTAGTTTAGGAGGCAGAGAGAGAGTCAGCCTGTCTGCAGCCTCAGCCTAACGCCACACACACACACACACACACACACACACACACGCACACACACACACTCAAGTGGACAGACTCTCGCTCAGGAGCTCTCGATCAAACACCCAAGCTGCGCCTTGCGTTGTTCTTCTGAGCGAACTGATCACACACACAGTCACACACACGTTTGTGTTTACAGCAGTGAGACGTTTCGCGTTTACATCCACACGTGTTTTCTGCTGTGATGCTGAAGTTGAAATAGAGGCGGTAAAAATATTTTGGTGTAACATGTATACAAAGCCACATGTGTACTCGTGTGAGGGCAGCGATCAACGCTGTGAAATATAATATTTGCATGTCTCATTTTGTTGCACTTCACAGCTGTAGTTATTTCAACCTAATTTCATTTCTCAGGTAATTTTAGTAATGCAAATCCACTTTGGAAAATAAATAGCAACAAATGCTGATCTGGATATAACATTATTAAATATGTTGTAACTACTTTTGCAAAAAACAAAAACATTTAAAAACAAAGAAAATTATATTCTGTTCAATTAAATTCCATTTAATTACTGCAGTGAGAATTTGATGTACCTGAAGCTTAATTTTCCTGACACAAGTGAATTTAAATTGTGCTTTTAAACACACTAATGTTTAAAAATGTCTCTATTAGAATATAGTAGTAATAGTAGTAGCACTCCTGCTGTAGATGCCTGAATGTGCTGGATGATTTATAGCATAATTTAGGCTAATGTATTTATAATTGAAGCCCAGCTTTACCACTGTTAGCTGTGATTACAGTTTTAGTCACATTCATATATAATTTGGTCTATTTTATATATTTTATTTGTTGTCGTCACTTGATGTAGCTGTCTGTTTCTGTCAGGTGTTTGCACACACACACACACACACACACACACACACACACACACACACACACACACACACACACACACACACACACAGTCACTCTCCTCTTCTTCAGCCATTTCCTATTATCTCGGGCTCTCTTACCACAGACTGGCATACAGTTACAGGGCCTTAATTCTTCTCCTTGGCAGGGAGGTGCAGCGTTCCTCTGTGACAGAATCCCCCATGCCAGGCTCCTTTCAGCCCAGTGTGTAACTCTGCTTGAGTTTTGCGGGGCCTCCGTGAGCGCCCCTTCCTGTTCCACAATGTGGCATGGCAAACCGCGGCTCAGATTAGCTCCCAGCGCAGCCTGGTGCTCCTTAGAGTTTTTTTCCCTGACAACTCTGTGCCAGAATCCAGCAGCCGCTCGCCCCCATCGATGCGATGCACTAGCCCGTCTCCTTTCTGGCCTTTGTGCATTTCATTAGTATTTCATCTTATTTGTACACATGTGAGTATTTTTCCATAAATCTTTATGGGATTTCTTTTCTTTCTAATCTTTTTTTTAAGGCCAAGTGGCTCGTATTTGGTTTACTACTGCATGTGAGAGAAGCAGCGCTGCTTTTTCCGTGCAGCCACCTTGCACTAACAACTGGTCAAGAATGGAGAGAATGTGCGCGGTAACTAAAATGAAAAAGCGTCCACCTTTTGTAAGCGCAAGTCGCTGTGTTGTTCCAGCATGCTGGCGCGGGTTAGCCAGAGGACAGGCAGACAGTGGCTCCATTCTAACCTTTGGGGTGGCAGCGTTACAGTTTTATTCTTAGCTCCCCTTCCCAGGGTGTCTGTGTCTTGCGGAAGTTATCAGTTGCTAGGCCCGATGATTGGACCGCAGCCGTCTCACCCAGCTCGTCCCCGCCGTCGTGTTTCAGCTCTCTCGTCCCCACTGATGTCACTGTCGCCAGCTGTAAGGCGGGGGGGTGGATCTGCTTTCATGCGGCGTGATTGACACACACATACACAGTCACACGCACGCTCACTAACCCCCACCCCCCCTCTGTTTCTGCTTCCCTACAGTACAGTATGTGTCTGCTTTTGTCCAATTATAGACTTCGGCCCTCGCAGGCGGGGCAGGGACAGATCAAAGCTGATGGACTCTGATCTGCACTACTGCACCACAGCTTCAAGAGCAAGGTCCCGCTAATCACAAAACGAGCCTGATCATTTTCTTTTTGACAAGTACCTGCCTGCACACAAGCGCAGAGCATGACATAATTGTCAGGCAGTAACGAGAGTCGGATCCCAAAAGTGGTTAATTTTCTTTTCACTGATTGTGCTGCATTCGATGGCAGCAGTAATGGCTCAGGGATGTGGAGGAAGCAAGGGAAATCGGGGATGAGGAAGAGGTGGGGTGGTGGGTCTGATCTCATCTTTGATCACATGTCTGTCGAAAAGGAAAGTCTGGCTCGCCAGTTGGGCGCTGCGGGCCGTCCTCCACCTAGAGACGCCCGGCTCAGGTCATGTTTTTTCGAGCGACGTGTTCCATATTTGTCCGTCTGACGAGGCTGCACAGTTCCAGCATTAGTCATTTTTGGAGCCCGGTCAGCCTCATACGGCTTTCATTACTTGTGCTGTTATGATAAAAAGATGTTTCTGCAAGTGCAGCCTCCATATCTGGTCTCTGTGCTGGAGACAGACAGACCAGAGAGGTGCCCGGGGCAGGTCCGAAAGCCAACTACGCGTGCCAGACAACGCCGTATCTCCATGCTGCTATGGCGCAAACACAAATCCGAGACATTCATTTACCCATCAGTGTGTCTTTGTGCGTCGTCGCGACATTACAAATGACCAAGAGAATCTCTTTTAATAGAGACAAACAAAGAGACAGACAGCCAGACTGAGAGACTTAACGCCTCCACGTCATGCTAAATCCATCAAACACATCTTATCTGCTTCGCCCAATATCCTGAGCTTCAAAAAGGAGGTAAAATTATCAGATGCAGTTACATAATAAAGAAAAAAAGCAAACAGGAAAGAGTGGGATTTGTTTTATTACACACAAGCTCGGTCCATAGAGGCAATACGCTGGAATATTAAAGCAGAAGTAGCAGTCGTGTTATGTTTGCCGTTTGCTGAGTGTTTGCAGAAGCAGAAGAGAAGGAGGAGGTACAATGGTTAAAGCAGGAAAAATACTCTCTTCTCTTTCTTGGATCTGCGTGTTGTGCAGAACAGAGATTTCTGGATGGAGCGCAGAATTGCGCTCCAGCGTTCTGGCACGGCTCCGTAACCCGGGCCGACGGAGGAACAGAGAGTGTCGGCGCCGAGGGAGCCGCATTCATGTGGCGTGAAAAACACTGCTGCTCCGACGCTTTCAACGGAAACTTTCTTACGCTTTGTTGTCATTTGAAATAATGCGTCCATAAAGTTTGAGCATCGGCAAGCCCCTCTGACATGACAGGACAGCGTCAGCGACGCTGCCGCGCTTTAATGTGCGCTGTGGCGTCCGGGCCTATTTTCAGAACCCCTCGTTTTTCCAGCTTTTTTTTTTTTAATGCGTGCGTGTGTCACAGAGAGGAAAAGTGAAAAGAAGAGGGGAGTGTGCGGAGTGTAAGGAATCGCTGGTAAACAGATTACTCCGTGCAATCGGGCTTCCGAGGCGGTTGCGCTAATGCTCGATCCTCTGACCTCCTTTAACCGTTCTCCCTCACATCTCTCCCCGTTCTATAGGTCCGACCGCCGTGCTGCTCTATGGGCTTGGGAGCAGGCCAACCTGCTTCATATTCACTGTAATTATCCAGTTTAGTGAATAATCCTGGAAAAGATACACAAAAGGCTGAGTGTATGATTGAATTATGTGCAATTTGAAATGAAGGTCGGGTCTTAACTTCGGGAATAGAAAAATTCCTTGTAGCAGAAAGTGCAACAAAGAGTAGCTTTATTTCCTAATTTCACTGTACAGTGGTTTTTAATTATTGGTGTAATTAAGGTTAATAAATAAAAGCCATGGTGTCTGTTTAGCAGCTTAGCTCACTTTTTTGGATTTAACGAGCAGAAATTTATTTATTTCTCAAGAAATTAAATGACTTAATAATATGGATTAATGAGTAGAGTAAACAAAAGCAATAAAAATAAAAAGGCTATTCAGCTTATTGAGCTTTATTTTTACTTCACAGCTTCTTTGCTTTCCTCCACAGAGCAAACACAAATTAGACGTCTCCCCCCATGTTTCGCCTCCGTGTATTATTTTTAGTCTCTTCAGTTCCACTGTTTTGCATTTGCATGACCGATCTTCTCTTTTCTCTGTGCAGGCGCCAGGCTTGAAGTCTGTCCATCCGCTAAAAACATAGGTATCCCCGCACAGGAGCTCTGGCTGCTAACGCCTGAGCCGAGGGGCAAAGAGCAGGAGGAGCGGAGAAGTGATGTGTAGAAAGGACGGAAAAGAGCGAAGCGAGCGTCTTTTTCTGGGCCATTTCCCAGCAGCCAGATTCTGATCGGTCCGCCTCGCGCCTTGTTGCCTCGGTCCAGCG